TTTGACTCTCTGTTCCTGTAGGACAGATCCTCAGAGATGGAATCAATAGGTTATTTTATATTTGTTTTAAAAAGTGATACAAAAATAAAAAAAAAGAAAAGAAATAAAAAGTGATACATTCATGAGGGAGAAGGAATCACAGCTCAAAAAGGTATTCGGTGAAAAGTAAGTCTCTTCTACTCTAAACTCCAGCCTATATATTCTCTCTGTTCTCTTTCAGTCTTTCTTACACACAAACACATATATCAATTTTTTTTTGTCTTTCCAGAGATATTTTATACACATAGAAACAATTGTTGAAACAGTTGATTGAGTATCCTTTTTAAAACATGAAATAATAAATGATAACTTACTACTTACAGTACTTTATTTTTTCACACTATATCTTGGAAATCTTCAATATATATTAATCTTACCTCATTCTTTCAAGATGCTGCATAGATTACTGTTGTTAAATGTATCAGTTTTGTTGATTCATTTTTTAACAACCTTATTGAGGTACAATCTGACATAGTTTTGACATGTTTTGACACTATAAAACCATCATCACAATCAAGATAACAAACACATCCATTACCTCCAGTGTTTTCTTGTGCCCCTCTGTAATCCGTATATCCCACCTGCCCCTAACCTACTAACAGCCTCCCAAAACAACCAATGAATGATCTGCTTTCTATTTTTTGAAACAGGATCTGACTGTGTCACTTAGGCTGGAGAGCAGTGGTGAGATCACAGCTCACTGAAGCCTCAACTTTCTGGGCTCAAGCAATCCTCCTTCCCCAGTCTCCTGAGTAGCTGGCACTGTAGGTGCACACAACCATGCCCAGCTAGTTTTTGTATTTTTTGTAGAGCTGGGGGTCTCACTATGTTGCCCCCAGGCTGGTCTGGAACACCTGGGCTCAAGCAGTTCCCTTCCTCGACCTCCCAAAGTTCTGGGGTTACAGGCATGGGCCACCATGCCCAGTCGTGATCTGGTTTCTGTCACTATAGATTAGACTGAATTTTCTAGAATTTTGTATAAATGGAATCATATAGAATATAAGCTTTTTTTGGTTTGAATTCTTTTACTCAGAGTAAGTCTTTTGAGATTTACCCATGTCGTGTGTGTCAGAAGTTTTGGCTATTACAAATAAAGCTACCGTGAACATTTGTGTACAAGACTTCATGTAGACATATGGTTTCATTTCTCTTGAGTAAATACGTAGGCATAAATGCCTGGATGGTATGATAGGTGTATGTTTGACTTTTTAAGAAACTGTGAAACCATTTTACAAAGTAGCTGTGCCATTTCACATTCCCACTTGCAATTTATGAGAGTTCCAGTTCCTCCTTATCTTAACATTTGATATAGTGAGCCTTAATGTTAGTCTGTGAGTTTGTAGAGGTGTTTTATTGTGATTTTAATTTGCATTTCCCCAATGACAAAGGGGTTGAACTTTTTTTTTTTTTTTTTTTTTTTTGAGATAGGATCTGCCTCTGTTGCCCAGGCTGGAGTGCAGTGGCACAATCTAGGCTCACTGCAACCTCCACCTCTCGGGCTCAAGTGATCCTCCCACCTCAGCCTGCCAAGTAGCTGGGCCTACCGGTGCACTACCACACCTTGCTGATTTTTGTATTTTTTGTAGAAACGGGGTTTCACCATGCTGCCCAAATTGGTCTCCAACTCCCGAGTTCAAAGGAGCCGGCTACCTTGGCCTCCCAAAGTGATGGGATTACAGGCATGAGCCACCACACCTAGCCAGAACATCTCTTTATGTGCTTATTTGCCACTTATATGTCTTCTTCGGTGAAATGTGTATTCAATTCTTTTGCCCATTTTTTTGTGTTTTGTTTTCTTATTACTGAATTTTGACAGTTTTTGAATATTTTCTATACACACGACCTTTTCCAGATATATATGGAAATATTTTCTTCCAGTTGCGCTTTGTTTTTTCATTCTCCTAATAGTTTTTCATTTTAATGAGATTTAATGAGATTCCTGTGTATCCAAGAAATCGTTCCCTATTCAAAGGTTAGAAGATAATCTATATTTTATTCTAGAAATTTTGTAAATGTTATATTTTGTAGTTGTTCTATGGTCCATTTGTGGTTAATTTTTTATATATTGTAATATGTGGACTGAAGTTCCTTTTTTTGATATATGTAAATTTAATTGTTCAGGTGTCATTTGTTGCAATGACTTTTATTTCACTACTGAATTGTCTTTGTATCTTTGCTGAAAAGGAATTGATTAAATATGTGTGAGTCTATTTCTGGACTGTGTATTCTGTTCTATTGATCTGTTTGTCTTTTTTTTTTTTTTTTTTTTTGAGACAGAGCCACTCTGTTTCCCAGACTGGAATGCAGTGGTGCAATCTTGGCTCACTGCAGCCTCTGCCTCCCGGGTTCAAGCCATTCTCCTGCCTCTGCCTCCCAGGTAGCTGGGATTATAGGCATGTGTCACCACGCATGGCTAATTTTTGTATTTTTTTAGTAGAGTCGAGGTTTCATCATGTTGGCCAGGCTGGTCTTGAATTTCTTGCCTCAAGTGATCTGTCTCCCTCGGCCTCCCAAAGTGCTGGAATTTACAGGTGTGAGCCACTGTACCCAGCTGATTTTTTTTTTTTCCTGATATGGAGTCTTGCTCTGTCACCCCGGCTGGCGTAATCTTGGCTCTCTGCAACCTCCACCTCCTGGGTTCAAGTGATTCTCCTGCCTCAGCCTCCTGAATAGCTGGGATTATAGGCACCTGCCACCACACCCAGCTAATTTTTGTATTTTTAGTAGAGACAGGGTTTCATCATGTTGGCCAGGTTGGTCTCCAATTCCTGACCTCAAGTGATCCGCTCACCTCAGCCTCCCAAAGTGCCGGGATTACAGGTGTGAGCCATCACACCCGGCCTGTAAGATTATTTTTGAATGTTTACTATTCCCAAGTATTATTTCCTAAATGAATTTTGAGAAAATTGATTTTTTGAGGATACTATGTAAAACTGGGGATGTGAAACATGCCTACGTCCTAGTGCAAATAAATATGACTCAAGTCAACCACGTCTTACTTTCAAAAAGCCTTTACCCAGAAAGGGGCCAACTTCTCATCATCTGATTCAGAGAAACAGACACGTTAGGTAATAATCCCAGAGTAATTAGTCTTCAGCAAAGATGAAGACTATTTGTCTGTCTTTTTCAAATTCCACACTGTCTTGATTACTATAGTTTTGTAAGTCTTGAAATTAGGTAATGTTAGTCCTTGCATTTTATTCTTTTTCAAAGTTTTGGCTATTCTACATCTTCAGCAGTTCCATCTGAAGTTTAGAATCAGCTTGTCAATTTCTTAAAAAATAATTGCTGGGATTTTGTTAGAGATTGCACTGAATCTGTAGATCAATAAGGAGAAAATTGACATCTTAACAATAT